ACACACACACACACACACACACACACACACACACACACACACACACATATATATATATACAACCTACTGGGTACATTTAGTTATTCTTCTATGTGAATGTATCCTGAGGTCAGCAGTTGAGATTAGAAAACCAATGTGGGATTTCATCTGCAGATACAGCTTTCTCTCTCTCTCTCTCTCTCTCTCTCTCTCTCTCTCTCTCTCTCTCTCCAGAATTGATATTATTTCCTCATTGAAGTAAGACCATGGAGTCCCTGGCCTTACTGGTGTGCTCAGTGATGTCACTATGCTGGTTTTTTGGTGACTGTGTTGTTGAGAGTTCGTGGATCTACTTTTATGCCATATCTAGGAGATGTATCAGCAGGCATCCTGGCTGTCTGGGGGTTTTCTGTATCTTTTGTCATTTTCTGTGAGTCTAAAGTTGAAGAAATTTATTGCAGATGTACCAGTTGGGGTTGGGCAACTTACAGCCAATTATTATTTGCATTTTGACAGTTGTGGATCTTTGTGAGAGTCTCCACATGTTGCAAAAAGAAGCTACTTTGATAAGGGGTAGGTAGTGGGGGAGAATTGCATGGCACTTGTGGACATGATTTAGAAAACATCTGGAAATTAAACTGGTTTAGGAAACTGGAAGTACTGGATTCTCCTCTCGAATTTTTAACCTTTCCAGGCCCAAGTGCTTGTCTATGTTTACAGAACCAGATATGGCATCCTTCTTTTTGAGTAGGCCTTAGGTCCAATTGAATAGCTTTCCATCCCCCAAAGATATAGTTGGCACCAGTGTGCCACTATAGATGTTTTGCCAGTCCTGTCATTCTTGTGGCTCACAGGCTTCATATCTGGGTATTCTGAGTGGTTGCTCCTCTCCCTTGGCAGATTGAATAGCATCTTCTCCTGTCTGAAAACCACTTTCCAGGGAATAAATTTCCAGGAAATTCTAGCTCAATGCCTCAAAATTCTGGATCTGAACAGGCTGGGTATTTGTGGATTCAGCAAGAGAATCTTTTTTGTTTGTTTTGAAACTCAGAATACCATGTTTGGTTTTTATTTATTTAGTTTTGACAACACTCATGGACAGGATACTAGCCCTGAAAATTTTAGCAAAAAGATGTTAAAATTGCTTGAGAATTAAAGCCCTGTTACAAATGTACTTAAAGCCTCAAACTAAATAGCAATTTTTAAAAATAATTAATTTTTTTCATAATTTTTTTTCATTATACATCCTGATTGAATCGGCAACAGAATCTTACCTTCATGTTCTTGGAGGCTCTTGCACTCTCCTGACCGGTTACCACTTAAGAGGAAGTTTCTAATTAATGATATTGGGGTTCTGTTATACTCTCTATGGCTCTTGGAGGGAACATTGTCATTCCAAGTAGCAACACATCTTTACACTACACATTTATATTACACACACATATGTATGCTATGTGTGATTTTAGATAAACATTGAATAATATGATTACATATCTTTTTAAATTTAAATTCATTTTTTATAATTTATTCACTTTACATCTCAAATGTAACACCTTCCTTCATCTCCTACCAGTCCTACGCTCCCCCTGTCTTCTCCCAATCCCCCTTCCCCAGTTCTCAGAAAGAGGGAGCACTCCTCCCCTGTCATCTGACCCCAGCCCATCAAGTCTCATTTGGAATGCCTGCATCCTCTTCCTATGTGTCTTGGCAAGGTCACTTCTTTGCCAAGGTCATGGGGAAGTGATCAGAGAGTGGACAACAAATTCCATGTCAGAGACAGCCCCTGCTCCTTTTACTAGTGAACCCACATGGAGACTGAGCTGTCTGTGAGCTACATCTGAGCAGGGGTCTAGGTTCTGTCCATGTATGGTCCTTGGTTGGTGCATCAGCCTCTTCAGGTTCCCTGGACCAAGATATGTTGGTTCTGTTGATTTGCTTGTGGAGCCCATGTTCTCTCCTGGTCTCTCTGTCCCCTCACTCTTTCGTAAGACTTCCTGAACTCTGTCAATTATTTGGCTGTGAGCCTTAGCATCCACTTCGATCCCCTGCTGGGTGGAGCCTTTCAGAGAACATCTATGGTAGGCTCCCAGCCTCTTCCCTCTCTTCCCTCTCTCAGAGTTGTTTTGACTAGCATTTCACTGATAACTAAGGACTTTAAGCATTTCTTTAAATTCTTCTCTGCCATTTAATATTCTTCTGTTGAGAATTCTGTTTAGCTTTGTACCCCATTTTTAAATTGGATTATTTGGCTTGCTGGAGTTTAATTTCTTAAGTTCTTTATATATTCTGGATATTAGTCCTCTGTTGGAAGTAATGTTGGTGAAGATCTTTTCCCAGTCTGTATGCTGTTGTTTTGTTCTGCTGAGAGTGTCCTTTGCTTTACAGAGCTTTTCAGGTTCATGAGGTTCCATTTTTTGGTTGTTGATTTGAGAGCCTGAGCTGTTGGTGTTCTGTTCAGAGAGTTGTCTCCTGTGCCAATGCTCTTCCCCACTTTTTCCTCCAACAGATTTAGTGTGTCTGGTTTTATGTTGAGGTCTTTGATCCACCTGACTTTAGTTTAGGGCTGGGTGAAAAATATGGATCTATTTGCATTTTTTTTTACATTAGACATCCAGTTAGACCAATAACATTTGTTGAAAATGCTATATTTTTTATATTATATGGTTTTGGCTCTGTGGAAAGCCGCTGGTCTGCCAGGCTGCTTTGTTATTTATATCTCAGTGGAAAGACATGTCTTCACCATGGCCTTCACCTGGAGTCAGTGATAAGCTGCCAAATCTATCTCCTTTTATTTGAGACAGCAGGTGGAATGTCTTGTCAAGTTCATACCTTTTGTGTGTGAGGATCAGAGAGACAGATGGTCTGCGTAAAGAAGATTGACTTCTCTGTGAATTCATGCATTGTACTGAGGTGCTTTTGCTCTGACTTGAAAAGGGATTATTGCAATAAAGCAAGACAACTATTTTCTACTGGAGTACTCTCAGAAAGATCCCATGCGTTGTGTATATGTTTGTTAATTTTTTCTTCAATCCTCACTCCTTGAATTGTTCAACTCTGCCAGCAGGCTCTGGCAGTTTGGTGCCCGAACAGGGACTTGAGATACAGAGAAGCAATAAAGGAAACTGCAGGTGTTGGTAAACTTGGATCATAAAGTTGAAAAGGGCGCAGTGAATAAAATTCAAGAGTAAAAATGGGACAAGACAGTAGCCTCATGGTTTGGTATGGAGTTGAATTAGAAATAGTGTGTATATGAAGCATGTAACTGAGAAAGTGGGACTTTCAGGGTTAGAGAGAAAGAGGAAAGAAAAATGAGAGACAAAATTAATAAAACCATCAGCTCCTCCAAAAGAGTTATATTTCCTACTAATGATAATAATTTCTTGTTAGGAGACTTTGAGGATAACTTAGATCATGATAAGGTTGCAGAGTTGGAAGAATGTTGTATGTGGCAATTAATATTTATTATTAATATATCTTTTAGTAAAGCTGCTGTTAATTCTAAACAGCTGTATAATCAAATCACCACATAGAGACTATGATTTATTTAGTTAACCTAGAACACAATACTGGGCAATAGTTACTCCATCCTAAACCTTCAAGCCCTCAAATTTTCCTAACATTTGCATTCACCCATTATACTTGCTTTTTGTGAAATCTTAGGTCCAGTCCATCTCTCCACGTCTTTCCAAGACCTCTCTCCAGCCTCTGCTTCCATCTCTCTCCTCTCTCCTCCTCCCACTCCTTCCTGTCCTCTGGCTCCTTCCCTCTCCCGCCTACTCCTTCCTCTCCATTGCTCAACATTGTGGCTGGTTGTTTTATTTTGGCATGTTTACACAAAGTTGATGCTTAAAATAAGTATCACAATGCAATGTCCAGATTGAAACCAGAAAGTAGGGGAGAGAAATCAGCATTTGAATGAACAAGGGTAAGTTGTATATATCCCAAAAGAAAATTACACCAACATTTCTTCCTTTAAATCCAATAAAAGGCTCCTTATCTTTCAATACAGTAATAATTATGAAATTATGAAAACTGTTAGGTAAAATCTGCATGTGTAATGTCTAGTCCATGTGAATTTAGCAATTTAGGAGAAAGTATCAGATTATCCTATCTATCTTGACAGAGTTGTACACCTAAATTAACTTTTATTCTTATTGGTATTACCTATATGAAAGTATTTTTAACTTCTAAACAATTTAAGTTTAATTGTGGCACTGTAACTATTTGGTCTTCAACCCCATCAGAGACTTGAGAAGGAATAAAAGTAGTTATTAGAGTACATAGGAAGTGCATGTTAGCAGCTTCAAAAAATAAAAATTGAGAGACAGTTTGCTGCCTGAATAGTCACCCATAACTCTTTATAACATTGGAGCATCATCTTCAGCCTTCTGGCTCAGAATATTTGATAGATATATATGTGAAGCATGAACTAATTAGGACTTGCTTACCCTGTTTTGGCGGAGTTCAGCAGTCAAATT